GAGGCGGCGGCCGGTGCTGGATGCGAGTGCGGAAAGGGTCCGGGGAGGGACCGCCCCGCCGGTCCAGGGGGTGGTGCATGAGTGGCGGCGCTCCACGGGACACCCCGGTAATGCGATTGCTGCGGGGCGGCAGACTGATTCCGAGAGTCGTTTGCGCCGCTCTGCCTCTCTTGCACTCATGGGGCGTCCTGTATAGGTACGAGAGAGACAGAGCGACGAAGGCGACTCTCGTAATCAGTCTGCTGGCGGGGCTGGCGGCCAGCTGGCCGGCAGGCAGGGCTGGAAAGACTCCCTGGAAGCGTCCTCGCCTTGTCCTGCCCGAGACTGAGTAGCCAGCCCCACGGCCCCACGCCCCGCAGGACACCGCAGCGCCGCCTGTCCGTGCGACGCGCGCCTCGCGTGGAGCAGTCATCCAGAAGGTCGAGTCGTACAAGCGGCCAAACGAACCCGAGTGCCGATCGAGGTGGAGGTAGGGCCGTGCCATGTGCGAGTGTTAAACTCATCGACGCGTTTCGCTCGTCTGCTTTTGCCGGCGTGCCGGCGAGTCTCCGTCTCCCCCGGTGCAGCGCGGCAGCGCACCAGCGCCCTACAGGAAACACTTCATCTGCGGGGAGCGTTGCCCTGCCGCCCGGACCGGCGTGGCGTGGCGCGGCGCGGCGTGGCGTGGCGAGGCGCGGCGTGGCGTGGCGTGGCGTGGCGTGGCGCGGCGCGGCGCGGCGTGGCGTGGCGCGGCGCGGCGTGGCGTGGCGCGGCGCGGCGTGGCGTGGCGAGGCGCGGCGTGGCGTGGCGAGGCGCGGCGTGGCGTGGCGTGGCGTGGCGTGGCGTGGCGTGGCGCGGCGCGGCGTGGCGTGGCGTGGCGAGGCGCGGCGCGGCGTGGCGCGGCGCGGCGCGGCGAGGTGAGGCAGGCGTGGCCCCGCGACTTTTCGGAACGCGGTCCTCCGCCAGGCACGCCGGGCACCGGCCGGGCCGCGCGCGAACGTCAAGTATGACAAATTCGGCGGAAGGGAGCGGCCGGCCGAAATGCGGGCCAGCCGACGCGCGGATTTCTCATGATGACGTTTTGTAAATAACAAGGGGCGGGTCGTGCGCGTGTGTGCGTGTTTGTTGAACGCGGTCGTTGGACGCGATTTGTGTCCCACGGACTCCTAGCGGGCGGTGACTAAGCGACGCCGTGAACCTCCTCCTCCTCCTCGCGGCGGCGGCGAGGGACTCCGTCGACGTCGTCCTCGCGGTGGCACGCAATCCCCCCAATTCGCTGCCCTCTGTCTTGTTGCTCATCGGCACGGCACTACACTCATCGGCAAACGGGCGGCGGGCGCCACTGGCCGGCGTCGCGGCGTCCGGCAGCCCCTCGGCGCCACGCCCTCGACGGCGACGCCCCGACGCCGCGACGCCGCGCTACTCGTCTTTACGGTGGCGCTACGCGAATTAGCGGGGTGCTTGACCAGCCGAGTGATTCCGCTGAGTCGTTTCGTCGCTCCGTCTCTCTCGCACGCGCACGCAGCGCCCCGAGAGTGCGACAGAGACAGAGCGACGAAACGACTGTTTGGAATCGGGCTGCAGCCCGCGGACAGCGCGGGGCGGCGCCTTAGCCAGACGAAGTGGCGGCCGTTCCCGGCGGTTCCCCGTATGACTGTTGGTGCTGTTCTGTATCTGGGTCGCGGTGCTGGGTCGCGGTGCTGGGTCGCGGTGCTGGGTCGCGGTGCTGGGTCGCGGTGCTGGGTCGCGGTGCTGGGTCGCGGTGCTGGTGCGCGGTGCTGGTGCGCGGCGCGTCGGCGGTAAGGGTCCCCGCCCCCGCCGCGGCGCGCCGCATCGCCGCATCCTGGTGCCAAGGGCTTCGCGCTTCGCCAATGGCTTCGCCTGCTTCGCCCACTCGAGCGCCGCGCTGCCGCGCTCATTGCGACTGCCGGATCCATTGAGGGGATTGAGAGGAGCAGGGCCTCCACCGCCAAGGGCTGCAAACGGGGCAGGGCGCACAGTGGGCCAGAAGACCGCTGGAGGCGGCCAAAACTCCAGACGCGTTTTGAGCTCCAGAGTCGCTAAATGAGACTCAGACCGAACGTGTGACCCCACCAATGGATTCGGCGTTCGCAGAGCAATCCGTTGGTGGGGTCACACGTTCGATTCCAACCCCGTTTAGCGACTCTCGAGCTCAAAAAGCGTCTAAAGTTTCGGCCGCCTGCGCCGGTCTTCTGGCCCACTGCGGGGCGCTGGGCGGTAGGGCCCACGCCACTAACAACAACCGCCTCGTCATCGCGTCTTTTTGGAATCCGCCACACGACAGCGCGACGCGGTGGCGCGGCCCCCGCAGGTCCAGCCACGCCTCCTTTCGGCATCCCGCCACAAAGGGCGGGGCGGGCGGGGGCGGCGCGGCGTGCGGGGACTAGGCTGTCAGGCGGCCGTGTCAGACCTAGGCGCGGCGGGGCGCGGCGGGGCGCGGCGGGGGTTGTCGCGCGAAGACGCCCCTCGCCCCGCGGCCCGCTTTCCGGTCACGTGCGCTCCTTGTTCCCATTTCCCATTTCCCGCTCCGGCTGACTTACGCCCTGATTGTGCTGTTAGTTAGTCCCGCAGAAAGAGGACGCGGCGCAACGCAGCGCCGTGCCGTGGCGTGCCCGCGCAGCACGTGTCTCGCCGCGACAATAGCACTGTCTGCGGCCTGCGTCTCTCTCTCTCTCTCTCTCTCTCTCTCTCTCTCTCTCTCTCTCTCTCTCTCTCTCTCTCCCTCTCTCTCTCTTTCTCTCTCTCTCTCTAGCACGCGTGGCGACTCCCCCATTGAGGTGCGAGAGAGACAGAGTGGTGAATCAGCGTGCAGGGTGTGGCTGTGCCCTCCGCGTCATACTCCTCGCGCGAAACCATAAATTTGGCACCGGCTTATTATCTCTTCCGCCTGTTGCGGCCTTTTGCCTTCTTTACTCCTCGCGTCCCTGGTTTACGACGGGAACGCCGCACGGTGCACGCGACTCGCCCGCCTTTGAGGGTAGTCGTGCCGCAGCTAGCTGCGTCTCATCCGGATCCCCTCGCTCGCTACACTCTACTGCACAAACTCACCCAAAATTTCAATTTAATATTGTACCAGAATGGATATAATGAGACGTGAGATGGGTATAGGTACCGTTACGATCGCTCGGAGAGGACACAACAGTCCTGCGTCCTCGGGCCCGGACCTCGGTACACTGAGCGTTCTGTGTGTTTTCTAGGTACTAGGCTGCTACGTGGGCAACGATGTAGATAGTTAACTCTCTGAGTTTGTGTGTGTTGGGGGCCACACCGGGGCCCGGTTCAAGATTCAGGCCGGACCTCGGCACGCTGTGTGTTCTGTGTGTTTTCTACCAGGCTGCCACGCGGGCAAGGAGGTAGCTAGTTAACTCCTCTGAGTTGTGTGTGTCGTGTGTTACGGGGCCTCAACGGCGACCCGGGTCCGGACCTCGGTACGCTGTGTGTTCTGTGTGTTTTCTACCAGGCTGCCACGCGGGCAAGGAGGAGCTAGAACTCCTCGAGTTGTGTTTTCGTCGACCCGGGTCCGGACCTCGGTACGCTGTGTGTTCTGTGTGTTTTCTACCGGCTGCCACGCGGAAAGGGAGGTAGCTAGTTAAGAGGATATGGTACACCCCCCCAGAAGCGGCATTTCCAGGGACGCGCGGGGGACCTCTTTCTAACGCCGTCCTGGCCACACCGTTCGAGGTATCGATATGAACCTTGACACACGGGCTCAGAAGGGATCAATCTCAATGACGGTGCGTCCAAAAAATTTTTGAACGCCTAAGTTGGGCCCCAGGGCAGTCCAGTTCTGGTCCAATTTTCGTTCACAACAAGTCCTAAGAAAATAGGAATATCCAAAAAAGGGCCACGGCACGTTGTAGCTGCAACTTTGCTCATCCAGAGAACTTGTCCCCATCTGCGTGCGGTCAAAAAAAGAGATCAAAACCTGGTAGACGGCGGCCCTCTGCACGGCGGGTTTGGAGCTAGTCGGAGAGAGGGGGTGCAATATTTGGGGCCGACGAGCTGTACCGTCTCCAACCCCCACATTTTGTCGCCGACTTTGTTTCACTAAAGGGGACTGTCGGGCTGCCCCCCCCCCGGAGGTTGGGACCGTGACGGGTCGATTTATGGCTCTAGGCGTAGGGCCCAAAATTTAAAAAAGGGGGCCATTTTCTATTTTTGAAACTTTAAAAGGTTTTGGGCGTGCTATTCTGGTGACGGCAACAAAATTTTAAATTTCTACGACCTTTTGACCCGGGCCTGTTGAAACAATGACAAAGGTAAAAATTATCGTAAAAAATTTAAAAATTTTGCCCCTACAAAACACGCGCTGATTGCAAGGGTTTCATGGAGAGTCTAAGCTTCCGTTAAAAATTTAACTCTGGGAAAAAGGGCCCATAAATCAAAGCCGTCACGCTGCCGACCCTCGGCCCCGGCGCGTAAATGAGGGGGGGGCCAGGGGGGGGCCCCGGGCGCAGAGACAAAGCACGGGCTGCAGGCGGGCCGCCGGAGGGGGGGGCGGGGGGAGGGGGGGTTAGTAGAGCCTCTGCGACATTTCCTTTTTCAAAACTTCCAAGATGAAAATCCGCCGTGCAGATTTCCCCCTCTCCCGGTTTTTGATCTCTATTTTTGCCCGCACGCAGAGGGGGACAAGTTCTCGGATAGAGCAAAGTTGCAGCTAAACGTGCCGGGGCCCTTTTTTGGTATTCCTATTTTCTTAGGATTTGTTGTGAACGAAATTTGGACCGAACTGGACTCCCCGGGGGCCTAACTTGGGCGTTAAAAATTTTTTTGGACGCCCGGGTCTTTGAGATTGATCCCTTCTGACCCGGTGTAAATTTTCATATCGATACCTCGGGGGGGCCGGAGGGCGTTAGGGGGTTCCCTGCGCTTTTCCCTGGAAGCCGCTTCTGGGGGGGTACCTATTTTAACTCCTCTGAGTTGTGTGTCGTCGACCCGGGTCCGGACCTCGGTACGCTGTGTGTTCTGTGTGTTTTCTACCAGGCTGTCACGCGGGCAAGGAGGTAGCTAGTTAACTCCTCTGAGTTGTGTGTGTCGTCGACCCGGGTCCGGACCTCGGTACGCTGTGTGTTCTGTGTGTTTTCTACCAGGCTGCCACGCGGGAAAGGAGGTAGATAGTTAACTCTCTGAGTTGTGTTACCGGGCCATACCGGGACCCCTTTCTGGCCAGAAGGCAAGTCCTGGATGAGCCCACCATGTAGAAACTATTATCTTGTATGTTTTTTTGCTTCAGCCACAGTCTGCTGTGTTAAAGCCACTGGCGGGCTTTAAAATTGTAATGCTACAGTATTTTTTCAATGATGTCACTCATATATTTGTAAGAAGTAAAGAGGATCCTTGTACAGGAATAAGAGTAGAATAACTTCGAAATAAGGATCAGGTTTAAAAATGTATGTTTTATTGCCTAATTTTGAGCACAAAAAATACGCTTTTTACTAACGCATTGTCAGGGATTGGAATTTAGAATTACAATGCCCCGTAAAAACAAACAATAACCAATGACAGTAGAGAATAGCTTCAAAATGACATGAAGTTCTAGACATCAAAGGTGGAAAAAAAGTTAATTTGGGGCACCTTTAGCAAAACGACAGACGATGGTGGTGCAAGTGTTTTGATCGCCACAACCCAAATTGCACAAATTATTACGGTCATGAGAAAAAGCTCAAACATGACAGTAGAATAAACATACAAATGGAGAATAGCTCCAAAGTTCCAAAGATGACAATACACTATTTTATGGCATGGATTGGCCATTTTTGAAAGCTTCTATTGCGGACCCATGAGAGCAGGGCGAGCATGCCATGTGAGGCCTCTGTCTTCCCCGAGTGGTGCGTCGATAGTGACACAGCACAAACCGAAATCAATGGCCTGCAACAGAACAAATAGGTTTATCACCTAAGGGATGAGCAAAATTTCTAAATGATCCTGGTGGTTCAAAATGGTCTTTGAATGTTTTAACAGCACACTGTTTATCCAAATTTAAACTTACTCTCTTTAATATTTTTTTCATGGCTTCCAACTCTCTTTGCTTCTTTGCAGTCTTTCGCTCCACTTCTGCATACTTTCGCTTCAATTCTGCAGTCTTTCGCCTTTCCTCCTGAAGCTGTTTCTGCACGACCCTTATTCTTCTCTTCAGAGCTATCTTGCGAGGTGTATCATCCTCCTGTATGTCAAGACAGACAGGCTCCAGAGCACCACTCTGCAAATGCCAACCCCAGAAATCAATTTAAATGAATATCCGTTCACATGGAGATGCAAGGATAGCACAAGAGTTGTCAGTCAAGTTGCTTCATACCAGGACCATGGCTTTTGATGGGGTCTCTGAAATGTCAGGGGAAACAGCGCCTCTTTTACGTGACGAAGGAGGAGAGGAGGGCAGGACAGGAGGGCTGCTTCCATTGAGTTGGCTGGAGTTGGCTCCAGTTGGAGTAGAACCTGTTGATGGTGAAGACTCCTGCAGACAAAAACCAATATTAGTTTCTGGAGGGGATATTGTGCCAATGACACAAATGTAACAGCACTCACATAAACATTATGTGCTGGAGCGCGGCCTCCACTTCGGCCTTCTTTCATCGTTAGGAGATCTGGAAATAAGACAGCACAAACGAGTGAATCAATGATCTGAGATCTCAGCTAGCATAACCCCACTTCCAAATTCCAAAATAAACCCGCTCTCGGGTCCGAACAAAAGCTATCGAATGAATGTGAACGTGAATCTGTAAAAGCAGCTCAGCCTCTCAGCCTGCGCTGTCGGCTGTTGTTGTTTACGAAACTCCTGCCTTTAGAACACGTGTGTGAGATTCCAGCAAAATGGGCAAGAAAGACAAGAAGGGAAAGAAAGGAAAGGGAGCCGAAAAGACAGCCGCTAAAACAGAAAAGAAGTTGACCGCTAAACAAAAGAAGGATCTCGCAGCCAAAGGGGAGGTTAGTAGTTTTGGTCTGACAGTTATGTTGGTTAGGTTTTCTTGTGGCAGCAATTTTTCTGTCTAGAATTAGCTTGGTGGGAGCATTCTCTGTCAGTTTCCTCATTATCTGCTGAGTACATTTCTCTTTAATTTCATTTTGAAATACCTCCAGATGACAATCAATCTTTACTCAGTATTGTTAAATTTAACGTATTTTGTCATTGGCAGGACGACATTGAAAGTATTCTTGCTCAAATTGAAGCTGAAGATCGCAAACGTGTTGAAGTCGTTGAACATGTGGTTGACCCACCATCTAGAAGGATCAACTTCTCCCTTGTCGCTCATCCAGAGAAGGAGGAACTCATACTCTTTGGGGGAGAGTATTTCAACGGCCAGACGGTGAGGAAGCGCTTTTCCTTTTGTACCTTTATTCCCCTTACTTTCCTTTATTTCTCCTGCTCTCATCTTGTTTTATTGCAGACAATGCTAAACAACGATATGTTTGTTTACAATATACCACGAAATGAATGGAAGATCCTGAAGGCTCCTGCTGGTGCACCACCAAGAAGTGCCCACCAAATGGTTGCTGTCGCTGCCAATAAGGGACAACTGTGGGTGTTTGGAGGAGAGTATGCAAGCCCAACACAGTCTCAATTTTATCACTACAAAGATTTATGGGTTTATCACATAGCCGCTAAAAAATGGGAGAAAATCAAGTGAGTTCTTTTGGTCCTGTATTGCCTCTTAATTATGAAATGATGGTGTTCTTTGTATAATTGCAACAATGAATGCATTTCAGTGCTCCTGGTGGCCCATCAGCAAGAAGCGGTCATCGGATGGTTTGCGTCAGGAAGCATCTTGTTGTGTTTGGAGGGTTCCATGATAATTTGCGAGACTGTAAATATTTCAATGATGTTTATGCTTTTGACCTTGAAAACTACACGTGGAAGAAGATAGTCCCCACAGGTATGAGCCCTGCAATTCCTGTAATGCTTGGCAACTTCCATATCATATGTTTGTGATGCTTATCCCATGAACTTATTTAAATTTTTTGACAGGTACACCTCCTGCTCCTCGGTCTGCCTGCCAGATGATTCCTCTAGCTGATGGAAAAATTCTTGTCAGTGGTGGTTACAGTAAAGAACGTGTTAAGAAAGATGTTGAAAAAGGCACAGTACATACAGACATGTTCCTTCTGTCTCCTGAGAGTAGGTTCTTATCTGTTGTGTTGTATTTTTCTCCTACTTTTTCTTTGATAATGATAATAATGATCACGGGGAAATTGGATTGTTACAGAACATGACCAAACTTTCTTGAAGTGGAAATGGCAGCCAATTAAGCAAGGTGGAATGAAACCGTCACCAAGGTGTGGAATGGCTATCACAATCGGCGCTGCCAATAAGGCCTATGCCTTTGGAGGGGTCTTTGACACTGAGGAAGATGAGGAGAATCTTGCTGGAGTTTTCTTCAACGATTTATATGTGCTAGATACTGAGAGAACATCATGGCGTACAGGTATGCAAACCCAGTTTTCAGAAGTTTTTCTTATTTTAAATTCAATTATGTGTTGATTCTCATTGAGCTTTTGTTCTATAAATTCCTGACATTTTATTCCTTTTGGTGGTTTGCAGTTACCTTAAGTGGTAAAAAAGACACTGCTGCACCTAGCCGAAGAAGAAGAAAGCCAAAAGAAGGTGATGATATGGACTGTGAGGATGACAGTGAGGGCTCTGATAATGAAGCTGAAATGGAAGTGAGTGGAATTTGATTGCATACAGTATGCATAATTCATAAATTTACATCAAAATATAAACCGTACCATGTAAGTGTGCTTTAAAACTAACATTATCGTTTTCAGGTTGAAACACCTACAGTAACGACCATCTCAGATGATGGAGTTTTCACAGTCACTGTGGGGCCTGCTCTTACCCAAGCTACTTCATCTGATAGTCAAGAAACAGGAACTGTAGCAAATATTTTTGTTCCCTCTCCCAGAAGTAGTTGTGGGCTGGTTGTTAAGCATGGTGTACTTTATTTATTTGGTGGTATGAAAGAAGATGGAGATCGTCAATTTACTTACAATGACTTCTATTCCTTAGGTAAGAAATGTAGAATTGTGTGTTCATTAGAGATTTTCAGTTATGTATATTGTTCCTAATTTATTTATTTTTTTATTTTTGTATTTTGCAGATTTGCACAAATTAAATGAGTGGAAAATAATAATACCCAACGACCAGAGCAGTGAAGAATGGTTTGCATCTGACAGTGAAGAAGGTAGTGATGATAGTGAAGGAAGTGATAGCGATAGTGATAGTGAGGATGAAGATGAGGATGATATGGACGTTGAATGAATTTAAAAGAATAAGTTTGGGTCAGAGTGATATTGTTAGGGAACAAAACCAACATTAAAATCTCTTTGCATATGTGCAAGGCACTAGAACAAAATGTAACTGTCTCTATGATTCACACCTTTCAAAACATTAGGTCACTTGCCACCATTTGACAGGGGCGTCGATGCGTTCTAATTCCCGGGGGACAAGCGGTGCACTGCCGTTTGGGTGTCTCACCCTCACCTTCAGGCGTTATTATGTGGCTAACATTCGCCGTAGTTAAAGACTCAGGCCCTACTAGCTCAAGGCGAGGCCTTATAGGCCGAGGAGCCTGTAAGGAAAAGTGTCATGCGCCATGAATGTAGGCAACCCATCGTCCACTGACCGCCCCTGAACAATTGCGCTGGGAAGGTTAGGCCACCCATTCGTCACGTCGTCGCGCGATGATTAGAAATTGGCTATATAAGGAAAGCAAACTCCCGTTTTCCCCCTGTGAAGAAGCAAAAGAAGCAAAAGAGTTCCCCTCATCGGGTCCCCCCCCCCCACCCCACCCCCCTCCCCGATGGGAGGGTGGAGTAGAGGTATCATAAAGGGTATATGGAAATTCAGTCCCGGTAATACTCCCAGACGAATCGACCTGGTGGCGAACCACGGCCTCGGAGAACCGTGCCCTGCCCACTACGCTACGACGACACACCTGTGTCAGAAGCCCAATCTTAGAGCGATGGCACCGGATTTGAGAGGTAAGCTGGGGAAAAGACCAGCTTGCCTGGGAGTCGAACCAAATTACTTATCGGAGAGGTGGACACCTCTACCATCTGAGCTACCTAGCCGTTCTGAACACTTATTTCCTCCAAACACATTACCCATGTTACAAGCTATGGGTCTGAGTAACAGATGGTGTTCAGCTGAAAATGGCATTGCCCGTGACGCTATGTGAGTCCAAAGTGAGTAACTTAAATTCTTTTTCCTAAAATGTTGCTCTCCCTGTTCCCCTCTGATCAAAACTTGGAGGGTACACTGCCCCTGCGGGCGTGAGAGAAGCACGATGCAGTGCCAAACAAGTTTGTACATACCGTCCCCCTCTGTAGCCCTGGGAGTGACTTAAGATTCCAAAGAGTGTTATGCTTGCTGCTCGGTGAGAGAAACAGCCTTAGTCAAAACTGACAAACACGCAGTAAATAACAGGGTGAAAATTCATAAAAAATAAATAAGTTTTATTTTTAACATACATTGATCAACTTCAATTAACATAAAAACAAAAGTATTGATTATAAATTAGTAATACTGATGTTTATAAAGGCTTAGATGTCTTCTCACTAGGATATGAAGCCTTCATGAAAAGAAAAGTTATTATGACACACTGATATGAAAAGTCATGTGACTGGATGCTACATTCAATTTCCTGGAAATGGTTTTAATGAGAGGAGAAGGACAGTCCAAGTATACTCTCACTAAACCACTAAGACATAAGCTCATAAAATAATTACTCAGAAGGGGTAAGAACTGAACCATTTAAATTGGAAAATCTTTAAGCTTCTCTTTAATGAAGGTATCCTCATATGTTTTTAAAAAATTAAGTAACTTCCATAAAATTAAGGACAGACAAACCGCTTTTATTACTAGTAGCCAACAATTGCCATCATACCACATCAATTTCATTCCAGCAATTTTCTTAAACTTTTTAATTTCTTAGGAATTAATCCTGGAGGAATGTGTTGCAAGTCGCATCAATGTACTACATCCAATTGGAAGGAAGTTTCCTCCTTGTGTCCATTGGAGCAATTTTGAAATATGGACTCATGACATAAGTTGCAGTGACTGGCATGGTTGCAATGTGCCATGGACACATTTTGTTTGAGCCAAAATACAACAAAGTATGAGGGCGTTTTACAGGCGGAGAAATTTGAGAAATTTCATACTTTAAACCTAGAAGAAAAATAATACTCTATAATTCTTTCCTAATAGCACCTCTTCACAATCTACTCCACCAGCTATCACTTCACAAAATGTTTGTTTGAATTAGAAATACAGTATTTTTAAAATACAATAATACAACTCTTGAAAACAAAATATACAGTGAATAGACTGCTCACATAGTAACCTTTTCATCTACCTACAGCAGTGGGTACCTCTCTGGTGCAATAGAATTTTGTTTGATTGAGTTGGCATGCTTCCAATTTTTAATGGCAGCAACTTACCAACTATTAAAGCAATAGAAGTGCTTTGTTACTTTGCTTGCAACTGTTATAGCTGCAGCTTGGTTTGAATATTCCACAGAGTATTGAAAAATGTCAAGGTTTCATTAAACTAATCAATACAAGATTTTAGAGTAATAGCACCACAATTCAAACCCAATTGCTGATATTTTAACGACAAGTTGCCAATATCACAAGGACAAAGCATTGGGCAGAAGATGCATTTTCTTTTCAGGGCATGAGTGGAACAGAAGATTATTCAAAATGTTTATCACAGGATTGGTGTACTACATGGGGGAGGCAAAAGAACAAGACAGGAACCTTGGGGAGTTTGTTGAAGGGAACCATTATACCATAGTGTGACTTATCATTGAAAAATCAAATGTACAATTTTACAATTCCCTACTGCGTTACTATCATTAGTGACATTTTGTTGAGCCACATGCATCACAAAATTCATTTAATGTTCCTTACAACTCCTCAAAATAAGTATTCATATATAAATCTAATAGAGTAATAATATACTGTAAAGGCACAATCCAAAATTACATAAATCTACATAAGGGTAAAGGTTTTTAGCATCACAGGAAATTTTACATAAATACTGGTATAACTATTTTCAAATATATTGAGCTATTCAAAGTAAATAAATGTTTCTAAAAGAGGTACATAGAAGGTACATAGATGATTTTTAGAAGATTACTGCAGAAAAAGCTACAAGTGATGAATCAACAGAATCACAAAACCATAATAGAAAGATTTATACTGAATAATAAACATCCAGAGGCACGTGTAAATCATTTCAGTCACACTCTACACAGCCCAGACATACTCTTATTTAATCACAGCAACCTAAAATTTCTTACTTTACTGAATGGTACGTACATGCTTCAGAATGCAATATGCATCATTGAAAGATGAATTATATCTAACATTATAATATTGGAATTCATAGCCAAGGAGACCAATCACATTACAAAAACAATGGTTGGAAAGCTGACTTTATCCTAAACTGGAAGTGGAGCTTCAGCATAGAAGTCAGGTTCATCATCGTCATCATCAGGTTTGCTACTATCCAGCTTCAGAGAGAAATAAGAACAAAAGAGTTTCTTTTTAGTTCTTATACTAAGAAAATTACAAATTACTGTTAATTATGTATTTTGTGTGGTACTTACAGCTCGCAGTTCAATGGGAGTAAAGACACGAGACAGTTGTGCACGCAATGGAACCATCAGTAATAAAAAGAAGGGGAATGCTAGAGACAATTGGGTCGACTTTACAACCCAAAGAGCCACTAGACAAAGCAATTGAATGAGTGTATAAAGGTGCATTTTGGCTGTTGCAACCTGTCAATGAAAGAAATTTAAACGTAAGACTTCCTAGCAGGTAATAAAGCTGGATGTGACAGGCAAGATACTTACCCTTCGCACATAAGAAATTGAAGTGTGATGTTTCACAGGCATAAAGAATAGTTTGAGGCGGTCAAAAAATTGAATGCCTGCTATAGAGGATATGCCCATGTATAAAAACACACCAAATAGAACAGACATTGGCACAAGCCTCAATAAGGGTGACATTAAAACTGACAGCCCCACCATAGTGGCAACAAGCAGAGAACTGAGTCGTTGTTCTGAAACATGTCAAAGCCCATGTTATAGTTTACTAGCCGACAAAACTTAATTGATTTAAATGAGATAGGTGTATGACTTGTTAAATAAAAGCTACCTTTGACCTCTATGATGTGTGGTTTGTCACCAGGAGCATGAGTTCGTGACATGACAGTTACGGCTGAGACATGAGCCACAGACCGCACTGTGGCTGCGCACACCCACGGGGCTCCCATAAAGCCACATCCCATATTGAGAATACATATCAGTACTATGTCTAGATGGAAACCCGAGCCTTTCTGCAACTTTCTTTCTTCTTTGTCAATAATAAGCCTAAAAGAAACAAAAAAAAATACAACAGCATAATGAAAGGCATGTTATTTAGTATCATAACGTAAATGATGCATGCGTGTTATTGACTTACTCAGAAATGTGAGTTTCCATGAAGAGTAAAATGTAGATGAGTAAAGCCGGCACTGCACATGCAAACATCACCCACCATGCTATAGGTCCTTCTCTCCCAACAGGAGATATAATCCAGCCTCTTATGTCCGGGTTGGTTGGTGACAGGCCTGCTGGCACCTTCAGTTTCTCCGTGTAAGTCCCAGGGATGAGGTAGTCCAGCAAAACCATAGCAATGATGGCAATGGGAACACCAAAGTCTCCCAATGCTCTCCTTGCCTACAAGAAAATTAAATATGGTGAAATAAGGCAAAAATGAATTAGCATATTACAGTGAGCGTGAATACTTACACTTCGGCCAAGAAACTTGCTGTTACGAAATCGTCGCAAATAATAAGCTATGAAAAAGGTGCCAAGAGCCAATATCGTACAAAATAGTGCAGTATTGGGTTGATTTTTTACTGGACCCTCACGAACACTTGGGTATCCTTTGGCTACAGAAACATTAGTGTTCATCCTGAAAGCAAATCACAATGAATAGTCACAAAACAGCCATTCTTTTTTTTTCTCTCTTCAACTCATTCCTGTTAGGTGAGGACTTACACAACAGCTTTGGCTCCAGCAAATGCATCTTCATAGTCATGACTACCTGTTGCATTTTCAGCTCCCGCCCAGGTACCAAATACATACTTTCCAGATCCCTCACAGTAGTCATCCAGAGACATGAGAGGGTGAATTTCATAAATCTGAATGATATAAGTTATTAAATGCAATCTCAACATATGATTAAAACAAATAAATCACACAAAATAATTATTTACCTTGAAAAGCTTCATCACACTTTCCACAATATATATAATGCAGATGAGGGAAGCAAATATTTCTTCAGTGAATCGAGTGAAAACTTTCACAAACACACTCCCTTCCACACAGCTCACTAGAAATGCTATGATGAAAAGCCAAATGCCTATGTATACTCTCATTGTAAGGTACTCAATTCCATAGGCAGTACACATCTGAAAGTAAAGACAGAAAGCACCATTACTGTTTGTAAAGGCTAATGACCAAATTAATTCAGACCAAAACAGGTCAACTCACATTAAATAAACTTTCATCAAAAAGCAATAGAGGTCCAGTGGCACCAACAATTACAAGAGGCTGCCCAGACATGAGGGCAAACATTACTCCAGCAACAGATGTGGCAACTAATGTTTCCGAAATACCTATCATATTTTGAGTCTTATCAGCTACAAAAAAATATATATCATTAAAATGAGGAATGAGAATTGAAGAAGGAGAAAAGATAAAAATTGTTTCATACCCATTAAGCCACCAAAGGTGATAGACGCAGACAAAGCTGCAAAATACATGAAAATTGCAGCAGCAATTGTCTGCAGATTCATGCCGTCTTTGAAATCAGACCAGTAGTAAGGGTAGCGTCTTTTCAAATCATTCACCAGTCCCCCCCATGGTCTCTTGGTGCGTCTGAGGGGATCAGGACGAAGGGCCTTCTTTGCAGCTAGTTCAAGAAGAGCTGAAATAGTTCGATCAAAAGTTGTAGCCCAAACTTTCTAAGGTTTTTTTACTTGTGTGAATTCCCATATTATATTCTTTACCTTTTTGAGCATCATCTGTTTCAAGATATTTGTTTGTTTTCCTACGACGTATGGCATCACTCTTTGCCTTGATGTCATCAAAGGGAATAAGATCTTGTCGTTCCCAATCTCCAGGAGGCAACACAATACTGCAGTCCAGGAAGTCATTTATGGCAGACAATAGCTCAGTTCTATGTTCAGCTTTGTAAGCTATTTGGTGAAATTGCTGCAAACACAGAATCAAACCCATTTTGTCAATCATATTTAAATTAACATATTTTGAAAACATGAAATATTGTGATATTTTACCTTATTGGCCATCAAAGTAGAGAGGGAGCGTCCAATTTCATGGTAGTCCATGTCAGCATTTATAGGACCAAGTAGAATGAAAACAAATCTAACAGGGATTGACACCTAGGGAGAGAGAGAGAGAGTTGAATAAGACATTCACAATGCTTGCTGTACAGGTGACCCAAGGAAATTTTAGTACCTCAGTGATGGTTGGCATTAAGGCACCTTCAGACAACCGGACAAAAGCAATAGTCGGCTGCTCCAGAAAATCCACTGAGCCAACCAAAACTGTAGTTGCCTCTGCTCCAACAGGTATCCTTTTAAAAATAGTTTCGTTGGTCCCCTTTCTATTTAGGTCCTCTGTTGATGAACTGTAAGTCGTTTCTTCTTTCATGTCAATCTGCATAATCAACAAAAATACATGTAGTAGCAAATTAAATTTCCTCATCTCTGCACCACTGCAACAGTAAAAGTTTGCTCACCACAAGACTGTCTTTGTGTTTCCCATCACTATGGTTTGATGAGTTATTGCACCCATCCTTCACAGCGGAGTTTATGTTTGTTTGAGAAGGGATGATTCGTGGTTTTTTGTCATCATGCAAATTCTGGAAAGAAAAATGGTTGATAACATTTAAGTCGATAGGGTTTGAAACCAAAAAAAATCTCTTGCATTCTCTACCTTTTCTCTAAGAATCATAATCTCATGAATGAAAATTTGAAACCAATTCACTAGTATTAGAATAAGCTGGTGAAAGCATGCAGTGAGCTCATCCACACCATGAGAGAAAGGCACCCTTCTCTCAGCTCAACACTATACAGACAACTTGTCTTTGTAAAGCCACAAAAACAAAAGAAAAGGATACAAACAAAAATTGTCACCAAAACCAATCAGGTATAATAATTGCTTGTTTCATGAACGAAACAATTTTCCGCTAGCTCTGCTACACTATCCTGTGGAAAGCAATGAACACTTCCACACGAAACAACTTATTCAAGAGAGGCTGAGAGCCTTTTAAGTTAAACGCTCACACATTGTCTTCAAAGAGGTTTTTTTTTGTGTTTTTTTTTTTCGCTCACTGTGCATCTAGCATGGCCAGAATAATTCAAGCAGAAAGAAGGGAAAATAAAAATATAGAGAAGACATGAGTTTTGCTCAGCAAAGCTAGTCAGGCGAAACTAGAGAATTACATATGAAGATGCTCGGTAGTAGTAAGACTCGCAGTCATCTGGTTCTGCACAGATGGGACAGCGACCCGCTTCCGCTGCAGCAGCAAGGGACTGGCACCAAAGGAGTGGCAATGAGTTTGAGGAAGGTCAAGTGGGAATTTTTGTCCAAGGGACACAGGAAACAAATAGAAGTCAAGGAAAGAAAGAGATGTCACCCAAATAAGCCCAGGCTAGTGCGACTCACTCTCTCACTAGAGCAACGTTAGTACAGCAATTCAGTATGAGATTGAAACACAACGGTCGGAGCATACTGTTTTGTTTCCGACAGGGTGAAAATAATTTAACTTTAACAGGCACAAGACACACACAAAGAAGAAAGAGTTCATATGGGGGGTCACACAGGTTGAGCAACACCACTCTCCACCACACGCACAAACACAGACACAGGCACGCCATTCGGAAGGGACTGGCGCCTCACCTGGAGACTCGTGTAGCTCACGGAGGCCTTCTTCATGCCGAAGCGGAAGCGCTCGTGCTCGTTGACGTGGCGATGCCGCAGCAGCAGCGCGCGCATCACCGTCACCCTGTCCTTGGGCCGGATCAGCTCCGAGATGACCATCTGCTCCACGACGCGGTACGCCACGCCGGGCAGGTCGTGCTCCTCGCAGTCCAGCATCACCACGCCTGCGGAAACAACAGCAGAGTGTCGGGTCAGGATTTGGTCTGGTCACTACTGACGCGCCACCGCTGGGAAGGGAGAGGGAGGCAGACGTGGGTCCAGCAGAGGGCAAAAAAGATAATGGACCTGTAGATAGCCACCTGAAAGGAAGCAACAGCCACACTTTGCCCCAGTGGAAAGGCAAAAAGTGCTATGTTGCCCCTGTGGAAAGGCAAAAAGTGCTACTTTGCCCCTGTGGGTAGGCAAAAAGTGCTACGTTGCCCCAGTGGAAAGGCAAAAAGTGCTACTTTGCCCCCTGTGGGTAGGCAAAAAGTGCTACGTTGCCCCTGTGGAAAGGCAAAAAGTGCTACTTTGTAGAGATCTGGGATGGGCCGGCTCGCCGGTGGCCCACCGCTCGGCCGGCGCTGCCCGGCTCGGCTCGGCTCGGCCCGCGCTGGTCAGCCCGGCGGGCCGACACCGGCCCATGGGCCGACGGGCGGCTCGACCTGGCGGCTGGCGGTGCCGGTCAGGCAGCCAGGCAGGCAGGCAACCGTGCTGCTCAGTGCTGCCTGCCTGACGCTGCGCGCGTGAGCGCAGCCGATTGTAAAGGGGAGAGGGGGAAGGGGGAGTCCCGGACATCAGAATAGAATCAGTTGAACCTTGGTTCAAATTTTAATAATCGAAAGTTATTACATATTTGTGTGTGTGTGTGTGGGAGCGGGGGGGAGCATGAGCATGGGATTGATGTCAGTCAGGGCTCCGTAACGTACCGTAACGCGGGTACGTTACAAAATTTGGCTGGTACCGTATCGTTTGATACACGGTTCGTTACGTTTTTGTACCGTGGACCAATTCATCCTCAGTAACGGTTCGGTTACAAACTGTAACGTTACGCTTAAACGTTACCTCAGTAGCGTTACAAATTTTGTCACGATCCGTCACATTTTTGACGCCGCGTTACGTTACAGTACCCGTTCCACCTGTGTACCATAGAGGGATACCGTAAGATGTTCAGTTACCTTTTGGAACGTTACGTATACCGTAACGGGAACTGCTTATGCTTGGGTACGTTACAAACCCCAGCCCCTCGATCGCCCCCCCCCCAAAAAAAAAAAAAAAATTCACAAAGATACACAAATGTTGAGATTGAATGAGTTGTTGAGTGCGTTTTTTAGCAGTTCGAAGATGGAAGAGATGGTCGGCCAATGACCAACCGAAGGACCACTGCAGCCGCGGTGACTCGGGCCAGACCTGAGATCAGGATGCAACAACCTACTGTGTTCCCCCGCCCTCCCGTCTGGTGGTCATGGGGCGTCGCATTGAAAGGGACTCCCGCGCCCGCAACGGAAACCCGCCCGGACCTAGTCAAAATGACAAAGAACTTACAAACGCGAGGCAAGCCCCGCGTCATGGCGCGCACGCCATCTAGCGGCTGGCTCGGGGCGGCGGCAATTCACCAAGTTAGCTTCTCGATGGCGCCCGGTACGGAAGGAGTTGGCTGAAAATCGTCTGCACTCGGTCAGAAGGTCTTCGAGCGAAGTCAAGTCTGAGACGGCGCAAAGAGCATAACAAGACGGCTGCTCGACGGTTTTGAGACGACTTTGAGACGGGAGCCAAACAGAAACAGCGTGAGCGGCGGGCGCGTCCGTGTCTTTTTCTCGTCGCAAAGTGGTCTGCGACTTTATTTATTCGAAATAAAGACGAGAAGCAGACATGCGGTTGAGAAGTTGAGACGGCAATGGGTCCACAGCGAGGAAAACGACGCGGCGGTCGAAAACAAACCGCTCGAGAATCGATCCCCAGACCTTTCGCCTGAGATACCGGTGCTCGAAGCCGAAGGGCCAGAGCGACGTCTGAGAGAGGTGTGGTCTAGTAGAGTGTCATTCTGCCGGCGCGCTCCGAACTCAGCCCTGCTGCGGCCTGCTGGCTGAACGGGCCAGAGTCAGAGTCCAGCGGGCGGGCCCGGGCCCGTCGCCGTCGCAAATCCGTCGCGAACAGCAGACGAGGTGCAGCGTTGCGATGTCGCCCTCATGGGAGACGGCAACACTGCTGGCCGAGCCAAATATCTTCTCCGCTGTCGTAACAAAATAGCGTGAGCTTTTCTCTCCACCGAGGAAATGTTGTCGCCACTTCGGTAGCGGCTCGCGCCCACATTCGTCTGGTTCGTGGTTGGGGCCCGTGGCGGGGTAAGATTTTGACCACGTCACTATGGTGGAAGGGGAAATTTATGGGAGAAGTGGGCAAGGGTAACAGCGGCGAGGGGAGGTGCAGCAGTCTCATTTTCGGGCATTGCTGGAGTAACGTTACATTTCCGTTCCAAACGTGACCGTTCAATGAGTTCCAGCTGGAACGGTTCCGCGTAACGTACCGCAGGGTTAAACCAATCGTTGATAACGTTACTTCTGGGAGATAAGGGTATTGTACCGGTACCACGGCGTCCCGAGAGCTTTGATACTTTTCCCGTAACGTTACAGAACTACCTTTTTCACCGGGTACGTTATGCGTAACGTAACGATGGTTGCTTTGGAACTTGGTCTAAAACTTGTAACGTACCGGGTAACTGATGAAAAGTAACGACAGTTTTGTGACGTTACGGTGCCCTGATGTCAGTTGACGTGCAGTGCACGCAAGGAGTGTCTGCTTTGTTGTGACCCCCTCCCTTCCCCTCTCGTCAGTGCGAGCGAGCCGAGCCGAAGCATCAGCTCAGCTGGGCGGTGCGCGCGCGCGCTGGGCGGCTGGGTCGTTCGCGTCAGCTTCCCGGCTCGGCAGCTCAGCAGGCCCACGGCGGCCCATGGGCTTCTGAGCCGAAGCGTACCTCGGGTGCTTTCGGCTCCGCCCGACAGACCGCCCGAATGACCGCCACTCCAGCTGATACCACTGCCGCAGCGGCGGCAGGCTCGCCGAGCCGGCCCATCCCAGTTCTCTACTACTTTGCCCCTGTGGAAAGGCAAAAAGTGCTACTTTGCCCCTGTGGGTAGGCAAAAAGTGATACTTTGCCCCTGTGCGTAGGCAAAAAGCGCTACTTTGCCCCTGTAGGCGGGCAAAAAGTGCTACTTTGCCCCTGTGGGTAGACAACACTCCTGTCAGCTTAGGTATGCGAAAAGTGCTACTTTGCCCCTTCCTCGGGCCGGCTGTGGATCCACCACTGGAGGGCGGGTGCTCTCACACCGCCTGGTCCGGCGCTTACCCGTCTCGAGGCAGCGGCGCAGGTTGAGCAGCGAGTGGAAGCTGAGCGAGGCGACGTGCGGCCGGCCCCAGCGGTCCGCGCCCTCCTCCACGTGCTCCTCGTACTTGATCCAGCGGGCCGTCTCCTTCCACTCGCGGTCCTCGCCCTCGCCGCACAGCTCGTCCAGCTGCACGAACACCTCGTGCGGCGTGTGGTCGAAGACGCGCTTGCCGAAGCCCAGGCGGTCGCCCGGCAGCGCGGCGTGGGGCTGCGCGTTGCCGTGGCCGGCCGGGCTGCCCTGGTGGAGGATCTTGAAGCGCCGCATGCCCTTCACGTCGTCGAAGCGGTGGCCTGCAAACACGTCAGCGTCAGCTTCGCCGCTTCACCGGATAACTTGGTTCAACGTTTGTCGACAGACTGATTCCGAGAGTCGTTTTCGTCGCCCTGTCGCTCTCGCACCTACACGGGACACCCCATGAGTGCGAGAGTGACTGAGCGACGAAAACGACTCTCGGAATCAGTCTGCAGCCGAGGCTCTCCAGAGCACAGTGGGCCAGAACCCGGTGGAGGCGGCCAAAACTCTAGACGCGTTTTGAGCTCCAGAGTCGCAAAGCAGGACTCTAACCGAACGTGTGACCCCACCAATGGATTGCTCTCCGGACGAGGAATCCATTGGTGGGGTCACACGTTCGTTTCGAGGCCTGTTTAGCGACTCTGGAGCTCAAAACGCGTCTAGAGTTTTGGCCGCCTCCACCGGCTTCTGGCCCACTGTGCAGAGCCCGGCCTCGGCCGCCACTCACTGGTCAGCTTCTCCAGGTCCATCTCGTGCAGCGTGGCGGCCTCCTCGGGGTGCACGCTGGCGCGCCGCCGCTCGGCCTGCTGCGACGCCGGGAACTCGGCCCCGGACCGCTTGCGCCACTCCAAGTCCTCCTGCAGGCTGAACTTCCGGAACCGGTGGTGATGGTGGTGGTGGTGATGGTGGTGATGCCGCCTGCGGGCAAAGAAGGGCAGGTGTCACGACTGGAGCAGCTTCAAGTGGGGCGGGAGAGCGCCCCAAAGGCAGACGATCAACTGATCCACGAAGCGGAAGAAGGGGTTAAGTCGAGTTGATTCAGTGACCTCTTATCAGTCTATCAAGTAAACTTGAGCGAAAATTTGGTCCAAAAATAAGTGTGGTGAGATAAGTCCCATCCTCTTGCATCTATTTTTAGATGACATTCCCCACCTGTTCTCCCACCTGCAAGGTTCAGGCCTTTCTAAAGTGCACGGATTCAACTCGACTTAACGCCTTCTTCCGCTTCGTGGATCAACTGTGGTCCAGCCATTAATCTCAATCGCAATCGCCGTGAGGTAGGCCGCCCGCCGGACAGCTGTGCGTGGAGCCGCCGCCGGTTGCCTATCCCGCACTTCGCAGGCGCTCTGTTCCGCACCGAGCAAGACCACGGCGGCACGGCATGGCGGCAAGGTCCTGGCCGCCGTGGCCTGCTCGTGTACCCGTTAGGCGGGCCGGTGTGTTTACCCTCCGCACCCCGCCCCGCCCCACCCATTCCCACCCCGACGGCGCGACGCTACGCGACGCCAGCCCAGCCAGCCCCGCCCTTACTGCTTTCGCTTGGATCGCCGGTCGTCCTTCGGCGACGAGGCCTGCGGGGTGGAGGCCGCGTCCGGGTCGGTGGCCGAGGCCGAGGCGGGGTCGCGGTGCTCCGGCGTGCTGTCCACGCCGTTGTCCTCCTCGTCCGTGCGCGCCCCGGCCTGCTCCTCCGCGATGCCACCTGCGCGACAAACGAGTTAACTCACAATGTTAAAACAAACCCTCCGCAAAGGCGCGAACTTTCTCCGCTGATCTTACCGATGTGGAACTGCACCCTCTTGAGGGCGTCCGGGGATCCCAGGTCCTGGTACATGGCGGCGCGCTCCGACAGCAGGGCCTCGGACACGCTGTCGCGCCGCTCCAGCTCGAAGTCTGGGTCATCGTCCACGACCTCATCCTTCAGGCTGCGGGGGGCACAGCGGGGCAGAGGCCAAAAACAAAGACATCAGTGACAGACACGTGCTGAGGGACAAATTGGCAAATTCAATTTCCCGGGCTCGGCACGACCGACCCCCGCAACGCTCGGACCAGAGAGGACGCTGCCGGGCTTTTCCAGAATCAGGTCGACGCCAGCGCCGCGGGTGGCTGCGAGGGCGCGGGCCGGGGCACAGTGGGCGACAGGGAGACAAAATTCCAGACGCGTTTTGAGCTTTAGAGTCGCTAAATGGGAATCGAACCGCTCGTGTGACCCCACCAATGGATTGCTCTCCGAACAACGAATCTATAGGTGGGGTCACACGCTCAGTTCGAGTCCCATTTAGCGACTCTGGAGCTCAAAACGCGCCTGGAGTTTTGTCCGCCTCCGCCGGTCTTCTGGCCCACTGTGCGGGGCCCGGCCAGGCCGAGGGGCGAGGCCAATACCAGCCACCCGGACACGCACCTGCCCGCCGGGAGGGTGGTCTCGGTGTCCACGGAGCCTTGGGACTCCCTGGAGTGCTGCGACTGCAGCGACGCGCTGGGGCTGAGCGGGTCCCTCTCCCCCAGCAGGGCGTCCCTCGGCAGCGTCGCCAGTGGGTGTTCCCGCGCCGCGGCCGCGTCCTGGAACACCGGCGAGGCAGAGCACACCGTCAAACCGAACTCGGCAAACCTTGACGCGACGCGAGCTCAGCCTAACGCCCAGAGGACGACGTCGACGGGGCGGTGGAGCGTGGAACGGGGCGGGCAAGACGATAAGCCGTCCCCGGGGGATCACAGCAACAACCTCCCCCTCACCTCCCCCTCCCCCTCCCACTTCCCTACCGGTCGGACGCTATCGCGGAAAAACGGCGCAGCGTGTCCAGCCACTGTGAAATCAAAACGTCGCGCCGCACCGGGGACCGCTGGGGACGAAGACGGGGACGGGAGCGGCGCGAAGGGGCAAGGCAAGGCAGGGCGGGGGTGGGGGCGGGGGCGGATTAGGGACAGGGACAGGGCGGCGAGATGAAAGCAACAGCGCCCGCGTAAAAATACAACCCAATAAAATAAAAATGGGCGAGGCACCCCGCGGCGAATGACATTTTCCACCCCCTCCCTCTCTTCCCCCGCCGGCACCGCGCCACCTGTTCCACCCTAATCCTGCGCAACCCGACGCCGCGCCTCCGAGGTAGGCAACGCCTGCAGACTGATTCCGAGAGTCGTTTTCGTCGCTCTCTCTCTCTCGCACCTGTCCGGGACGCCCCGTGGGTGCGAGAGAGACAGAGCGACGGAAACGACTCCCGGAATCAGTCTGCCGGCGACGCCCCGGGCGCTGCACCGCGTCCCCCGCGATATCTTTTTTCACCGTGCGACGCGAAATAAGGGCGAGGCGGGGCGACGCGGGAAGCACGCCAAGCCATGGGGCCGTGAATATTGAGCCTCGGCCGGAGCGGGAGCAGGTCTCCTTCCTCTCGACCGACCGGAGGCGGGGGCCGTGTCTCCGTCTCCGAGCCCCGCGAGGCGCGCTGGCTTTCAATGGCACTTGCAAGGCTTGCGGCGCAGAGACGGCCGAGAGGAGAGGGGGTGGGGGCTGCTGGACCCGCCGGCAAAGTCTGCACTTTATGATGGCAGAGGATGGAACTTTGGGACCAGCGGACGCCATCGGCTGCATGCAAAGGAAGACGACGCACAGTGGGCCAGAAGAGCGGCGGAGGTGGCCGAAACTCTAGACGCGTTTTGAGCTCCAGACAGCACTCGAACCGAACGTGTGACCCCACCAATGCATTGCTCTCCGAACGAGGAATCCATTGGTGGGGTCACCACACGTTCGGTTCTGGTCCTGCTTTAGAGACTCTGGAGCTCAAAACGCGTCTAGAGTTTTGGCCGCCTGCACCGGTCTTCTGGCCCACTGTGGCAACTGCGGCTCACCTCGGAGGGCGTGGCCGTGGAGGGCGCCGAGGCCGTCAGCGAGTCGCCGCTCTCGCTGATGGAGGGCCGCGGCGAGGAGGCCGAGGAGGAGGCCAGCTGTCGCCTCATGGAGCCAGAGCCGGACCGGGAGCGCGAGTGGAGGCGCATGGGCTTGAGCGGGGAGTGGGTGTGCTGGTAGCTCTTGCGCCGGACTGGGGACAAAACAAGAAAGGTCAAAAACAGTGCAATCGGCGCACGGTGGGCCAGAGAGGACCGGCGGAGGCGGCCAAAATTTCAGACGCGTTTTGGGCTTTAGAGTCGCTAAATGGGACTCGGGCCGCACGTGTGACCCCACCAATGGATTGCTCTCCGAACGAGGAATCCATTGCTAGGGTCACACGTTCGGTTCGAGTCCCATTTAGCGACTGGACCTCAAAACGCGTCTAGAATTTGGGCCGCCTGCGCCCGTCTTCTGGCCCACTGCGAACCAGTAACATTTCTCACAAAACGGTTGCCAACACTAGATGTCGGTGTGCACGCTGCCGCACGCTGCAACCCGTTTCTACTCACAGCTGAGGTCCTCCTCCTGGAAGCGGCGCGCCGCAGGGCCTGGTCCCGCCACCGCGGCGTCGTAGCCATCGTCGTGGGCGCCGAACGCCGGCGCGGCGTCTGGCTCTGGGGCCGGCGAGGACGCGGACGGGGGCCCGCTGACGGACAGCCGGGCCAGGCTGAACTTGTCGCTCGAGCCCATGGCGAACACCTTCTCCATCTCCTCGTCCAGGGTGGGCGCGTCCGGGTCGTAGTCCGGGCCATGGCTCTGCAACGGCGAGAAGGAAGGGCGGGTCAGACGGGGCTGGCAGCCAGCTATCGATTCGCAGTGTATTTCGGAGGGCCGCTGGACCACGAGCAGGGTGAACGGCAGCCGGCCGAGTCGGGCCGACCCGACATTATGCAGACATGCAAATGACGGCATCGCGAATAATCATTCCGCCAAGACTGCGGTGACGTCACGGGGTCGCCACGGGGACGGGGCCATCTCAAAATGTCAAAATCCGCTCCAGCAGACTGATTCCGAGAGTCGTTTTCATCGCTCTGTCTCTCTCGCACTCGTGGGCGTCCCATGGTGCGAGAGAGGCGGAGCGACGAAAACGATTCCCGGAATCGGTCTGCCGCACTGGCGCTGCGGCGCTGCGCGTGACCGCGTGGGCGGCGATGCTCTCTTTATTCGTGCTCTTGCTTGTCGTTGCCGCTCGCCTCCACACTCGGTGCGCGGCGCGCGCTCCGAACCCGAAATAGCCCCGACGGCCCGACGGCACGGCCACGGCACTACCACTCCAGTTGGCGCCCCAGCGCCCCGCGGCGCCGAGCGCGCCAATCCGACGCCGCCGCCGACGCCTCCAGCACTGGAAGCCGCCAGCCAGCCGGCTCACTCTGTCTCTCTCGCACTCGTGGGGCGTCCCGCACAGGTGCGAGAGCGACAGCCGCCAGTTTTGGCAGTGCACCAGAGCCGGTGAGAGCGTCCTCAGCGCGCCGCGGCCTTGAGTCCCTGCAGCGGCTGAACAGTGTGTCCGCGCGGTGGGACTAGAGACCTAGAGACTGACGGAGAAGCGCGGGCGCCGATAAGCGCACCAACAGTTTCTCATACTCCTCGCGCGCGGCCGGAGAGCTGTCTCATATTCCAGACAAAATGGCGGCGCACGCACTTAACGGCTGGAGAAGGTTTTTCGGTCACAGCTTCGAAACCGTTCTAGATAGAGGGGTATAGTAAGCGAGCCGATTGTAGGTCTCTGTACAAGCTACAATCGGCTCGCTTACTGTACCACTCTAACTTGAACGGTTTTCGAGCTGTGGCCGAAAAACTGTTCGGTCTGTCTGCTGCGCTCCGCCCCACCTTACCGCACCGCTCTCTGCTCCGCTCCCTGTTCCCTCCCCGCTCCCCTCTGGGCCGGCCCAGACAAAATGGCCGCCAGCGCGCGACGGCGCCCGCGCTTCTCCGTCAGTCTCTAGGTCTCTAGGTGGGACGGGCCGACGGAAAGTGGTTGGGCAATTTACGGCGATGCACGAGATGAGATACCACAGGCAGGCACGGGCCGAACCACATGGGTCAAAATCCGCGCGCAGACTCGGCGCTGCTCTCGGCGTCGTCCTCCACGCGGCCACGTCATCCTCGGCGGGGTCTTCGGACGGCCCCGTTTTGCACGCGGCCCGGCCCGGCGCACAGTGGGCCGGAAGACCGGTGCAGGCGGCCAAAATTCTAGACGCGTTTTGAGCTCCGAGCCGCTGAACAGGACTCAAACCGAGCGTGTGACCCCACCAATGGATTCCTCGTTCGGAGAGCAATCCATTGGTGGGGTCACACGTTCGGTTCGAGTCCTGTCCAGCGACTTTGCAGCTCAGAACGCGTCTAGGATTTTGGCCGCCTACACCGGTCTTCTGGCCCACTGTGTGGCGGTCTGACACTGACCCCGCCACGGCCGCGGCGGCCGGCGGGCGAAAGCAAGGCGAAAGTTCTGGTCGAAATGTTTAAGCTCGTTAGGGGCGGCGCGGCGGCAGGGTAGCAGCCACCGGGGCGGCGTGCCTTGTGGGGGAGTTAGCCGTGCGGGGCTCACGCCGTGAGCCGTGAGCCACAAACCGCCGAGCCGAGCCGCCTGGGCCTGCCTGACCCAGCGGGGCGTTGCCAGGCAGCCAGCCAGGCAGCCAGGCACGGCCCAGGCAGGACTTCCCCGCCTCCACCCTCCCCGCCACGCCTCCTGGATAGACACAAAGGTTGGGGTCGTGAACCGCCAAGCGCGCCAAGCCATCGGCAACCTTGCTTGGGGCGTTTGCGGCTTAACTTGGCGCGGCATGAGGTATGAAAAGGCGGCGGCGGCGGCCGGGCTGGCTAACAAGCCGGGCACACCTCGGCAGCGCCTGGCAGCGCCCGGCAGCGCGCAGCAGAGCCTTTCAAACAAACTTTGCCCCTCGTTTAAAATTAAAGCGTCCTTTTCAGCGTGCGGGCCGACCCGGACGCGCGGGAGAGGGGGAGGGAGGAGCCACGGCCACGTCGGCAGTGTCAGTGCAGTCGCAAAGCGGACTCCAGTGCCCAGGTCGGCCCCTGCAGAGCAGCCCCACCACTTGTCACTCACAGAGCCCCAGAAACAACACACACAGTCGATACGTCTGTCTCGAACATCACCGCCTCGGCCAGGCCTGGGCCCCGCAGAGTCCGCAGGGGGGCGGCCCCCTCTCGCTCCCATCGCAGTGCCTCTCACTCCCACACGCGCCAAGGTAGAAGGTAGCGCCGCCAGGCACAGCCGCCAGGCACAGCCGCCAGGCCCACCGCGCTCCGGGCACCAAAATCCGTTATCACGCCCAACATCTCTGCTCGGAAAACAAAGTTTGCCGAACCTCTCTCCCTCCCTCCCCCTTTCCCTCCGCGAACCGCGATGGCCGCGGTGTTCTTGGAGTCGTCCTTTCTCCCCGCCCCGCCCCGCCCCGCCCCGCCGCGGCCGCGCGAGTCGCAAATCGCGAGTCGCGATGCCGATGCCACCCCGCGACCTTATCTCCGTATACTTTCATGGCATCGTTTGGACCTCGCAGTCACGCCACCGCTGCGCCGCTACGCCGCTGTGCCACCGCCACTGTGTTGTACCAACCTACCCGGCCATTCGGTGCGCCGCGCTCAGCCGTGCGCCATTGCCGCTGCCAACATTCCGCACACAAACACACCCAGGGCTGCTCCCGGCCGCAATATTAGTTCGCAGCGACTCGCTCTCCATTCGGCGCTCCACGCTCCGCATCGCAGCCCGCGTGTACACTGCCGCCAGCGCTCTGGCGCACGGTACTGTGCGTACACACGGCACTGTCGAAAATGACGAGGGAATTAGTGGGAGCGGTGCGCGCGTTACAGTGGGTCGTCGTCGTCGCCGGGTTGCTGCGACGAGTTGAGGGGCGGCACGGCAGTGCTCGTTCACAGTCGGGCGATCGAGAGAGTCGTTTTCGTCGCTCTGTTTCTCTCGCACCTATAACGGGGCGCCCCACCCCGTGAATGGAAGAGAGACAGAGCGACGAAAACGACTCCCTGAATCAGGTTGGACAAACGAGGCGACTCGACCGAGAATCGGCTGCAGACTGATCGGCGCGCCGTGACGGGGGAGCGCGGTGCGGGGCGGTGCGGGGCCATGACGCCGCCAAGACGGCCGTCGCCGTGCTCCTCCGATGCCGCCGAGGCACGCGCCACTGAATCAACAGCGTCATCCGCGCCACCGGCCTCCACCCCGCCGAGAAACTACAAACTGCGTTTGGCGGAGTTGGCCGGGCGGCACGCAAGGCCGAGCCGCGGGGGATTTGGGAGGGGGTGGGGGTTCCGCCCTGCCCTGCCAGTGTCTGTGTGATTGTGGCGGCAAGATGTATGACGGAGTGATAATCCCGAGGGCTGAGCTAAGCCCGCTGCGCGTGGCAGGGGCAGGCGGGGGCTGAGGCGGGGGTTGGGGTAGGGCAGGCCTGCAGCGCTTAGCCCAGCCTAGCCCAATTCAGCCCAGCGCCTCCACCCCGTTTGCCAGTCCCCCGTTCTCCGTTTCGCCGGTTCAAGCTGCGAGTTCTCTCTATTGATTCTGCCTCCAGCAACAGTTTCCGGGGACGGCACCGCAGCAGCCCTTGGCCCTCGACGCGCACGCCGCGCGCACCCACCTCCTCGCCGTCCTGGCCCTGCCCGGCCCTGGCTGCCCTAACCCTGGCCCCACCACGACCTCGCCCCGAGCGGGGGAGCCCTGGGAGCAGGGGCCTCGCCGCGGTGCCGCCGTGGTGCCGCCCCGTCCCGGACTCGGCCACGCGGCCACGCGGGACCGAGATGACAAACGGCCACGGGCACAGGCTGGAGCGGCTGGAAGGGCTGGAGCGGGGCGGGGCGCAGAGAATCGACCAAACTTTCGTCTCCCACTCGATAAAACGCCAGGGACATTATCTGAAAGCATTACATCGCCATCAACATCAACAAAAAAGAGGATCGGGGACTGCGACGCGAGGAAAACCATGGCGGCCCTCGACATAATCGCCCTACAGGCACCCCATTTCTTTATTTCCTTTGGTGTCCCGGCCAGACCACCGGTAGGCTGCGCGGCACGCACTTGGATCCCAATTTCCGGGGCACGAACGCGGAGATAAGGGCGGATAAACGCGCCTTTGGTTCCGAACCCGGAGCACAATGGCGCGGCGTGGGACCGGCGGACGCCGAGCGGACGCCGAGCGGACGCCGCCACCGGAAGTGAGAGTAAGGGGCGATCGCGGGGGTCGCGGACTCGCGGGGCTCGGAAGGGGAGGGGGATTCCCTCGCCCGACTCGAACGTCCCCGTCAACCTCCCGGACACGGCCGCCAGTGGCGCGGACGGCGCCGTCGTCCTACCTGCGGGGGTGGCTGACGGCTCCCGGTGGAAGAGGTGGCCCCGCCGTCGTCGCCGCCCCGGCCGCACGCACGCGGCACGCGCTCCCCCTCGGCGCCTGACAGTCCGCCCGGCCGTGCGCACGCTTCGGTCACGACGGGCACGCGAGGGCGCGGGGGCGCGGCGGGCGGCGGCCTTCGTCGGCAGCCTCAGAGGATCGTCCGAGGCCGCGTCGGTCCGAGGCTGAGGCCCTGCGCGTCCGAGGGGTCCGAGGCCATCCGCACCGCTCCCCACGGCGGCACTGTGTGCTGTGGGGCGGCTCGGCCCAGGGCCCAGGCGCTCCGGCCTGGCGTAGCCTGGCGGCGGCCCGCCCCCACCACGCCAACCCCCGGCACCGCCCCCCGCCCCCACCACACCTACCCGTCGGGCCGTTACCGCTCGGCGACGAGTAACGCACAAC